ACTTTACTCTGGCCATGGTAGGGCAAGAGAATGTATGTATCGCTTTTGGATGCAGAGGTCCGGTTCCAGATCTTGAATAGCTAATGCTTCAGCTATGTACAGAACGCGAATCGAACAACAAATTTCCATTCCTTTGATGTACTACTCACCAAAAGACACGACTGTACGATCCAAAGATCGATATACCGCAAGCCAACATGGACTGGACAGTTTATCAACTTCTAGAGCTTTGTCCCGCTGATACGAAAAAGAAACCTGGCACGCACATTGTGTTCAAGGATTAGAAAAATCTGTTCGGAAGACATGGTGGAGAAATAATTAAATTTATTACGTGAAACCCTACTAGAAAATGGGTATCCACCAAGATTTATTGACAAAAACATGAAGGAGAAGCCTCCAGGGTCAAACATCGCAACAGTTCCTAAGACGACTCTCTTCATGAACCTAGAATTCAAAGGTGATATCGCAGCGGAAATTCTCAGAAACCGCCTTTCTAAATGTCTGAAGAAGACATTTCCAACAGCCACTCTACGTATCACACTTTCCTGCAGACAGTTAATCCAGTCTAACGCTAAGGACAAGATACCGCTTTTGGGCACTTCTATGTGTATTCATCAATTTACTTGCTTGTGTGGAGCAAAGTATAACGGCCATACGCAACGTCAAGTCCACAAACGTATTCTGGAACACTGCCCAGGTTTATTAGCCAGAGGAGAAAAGAAGAATAGCAACAGCTCGATCCTCGAACACCTTGTCATCTCCGGACATCGAGCACGCCCACTCATGAATGCTTCACAGTGTTACACAGAGTTCCTCAATATCGTACAAAAGGACTTCGGATACGCCGTCTGTACATAGCTGAAGCATTAGCGATTCAAGATCTGGAACCGAACCTCTGCATTCAGAAGCGATACATACATTCTCTTGCCCTACCATGGCCAGAGTAAAGTTCTTACTACAATTTTGCTTCTTTCCTTTATTATGTAAGTTCACTATTATTATTAATACTTTTACTATCGTTATTGTTCCCATCATCCACATTTTATTACCACTATATTACTGTTTATCAATGACATTGCTTTTTCATACAGATTCTATACAAAAACACTTTATATCCTTTCCACTAGTTCCTGTCCATTCTACACGAGCTAATTGATTAGTCATTATCTCACACTCATTACGTCATGCCAACTTCTGCCTCCTTTCTAACTTACAACTAGTCATCCCTTCTTACAGTTTACATTGTGTATTACAATTTTTCAAAGACAAAATTTGCCATTATCTGATTGTTCTAAAGATTTCTTTGTTAATTATAATTACGATTGTACAGAAGCTCATGAAAATGAATCATCGAAAAGAAAATTTTCTTCGCTGTTAGTGTCATTTTCTTATGATTCAGTATGGGAATATTTCGTTTATTGAAGATCTATAGAACTTAGCAGATAACCAAAAGGGGGCCGAATTCCCAACATTCATCTAAGACATGAAATATCACCGGAAGCATTTTGGCAACAATCGGCTGAACACTTTCATCAACAAAAAAAGAATTTATTCATAATCGAATATGATGAAGATTGGATCGTTTAGCCAGAGAATGAAGTTGACAATGAACATTTTTAACGGCGAATCAATTAAGCGTCTGTCAGTCAACACTAATTTGTAGAATAAAATGCAGATGGCTTGGATGCGAGTTTGATAGGGCTGTTGAGTGACATTCTGTGGTTGGCCTTTTGAATAAAACCGAAACAGGAAACGAATTGTTGAGTATCGGTTCAAAAGCGTGACACATAAAGGAGATCTTGTGAAGTGGAGATGAAAGCATCTAGGCAACCGTGAAACCAGCCAGGCACGGAGATAATATGTTGATGAAGCTCCATGTTCAACTAGAAACTCATTAACATTAATAAATCAATAATATTAATAATAATAATAATAATAACGGAGAAGACGCAGACGACTACATAAACAAAGCAGAGGATTTACTCAAAGATAATAATGTATATCAACAGTTGACAAAAAACCCTATACAAACATTAGATAACAAAATCAAAACAACACGTTAAATAAACTAACGAAATCGGGACAAATTACAGAACAAGATCAATGGCGAATGAAATCTAGCGGACCTATTTTACCTCGATTATATGGTAGACCAAAACTACACAAGCCAAACATTCCCTGCACGACCAATCGTTTCGCTTCCAGGAACACCAAGCTATAATCTACCTAAAGAACTTTTCAAGATACTAAATTACCTAACAGAATCATGCGACCATTCTATCAGTTCGTCAATCCAACTTTTTTAGAGAAAATCAAAAACATTCAAGTAGGAGACAATGAAATAATGGTGTCCTTTGATGGTGTCACAGCATTATATACTTCAATTAGTTCAAAACTAGCAACAGAAACTATGCAACAATTACTGCATAGTGATGAAAACATAAAAATGCAGTGATGTTCAACTTGGATAGAACTCATAGATTTATGCCTTACAACATACTTTCAATTCAATACTCAAATATATATGAACAGATAAATGGAACACCAATGGGATCATCGCCCATATCAGGATTAATAGCTGAAGCCGTCATGCAAAGATTAGAATTAATAGCTGTACCTATAATTAAACCGAAAATCTGGACAGGTACGATACGTTGATGATACATTCGTAATAATTAAGAGAAATGATTTGGAATATACCCATAAATTAATAAACAACATATTTGAAGACATCAAATCCACAAGAGAAGAAGAATTAGATAACAAAATCCCATTTTTAGATGTCTTAATCAGGAGAAGTAACACAGTAAATGTAGAAACACAAGTATATAGAAAATCAACGCACACACACAGATCAAATACTCAACTATACCAGCAATAACAACCCAATTATTCACAAAAGAAACTGTGTGCAGACATTGTTTAAAAGATAGTTCAAACACACTGTAGCACTCCAGCGTTGAAAAGAATGGAAGAAAAATACCTACAAACGGTCTTCAAAAAGAATGGTTATCCACAAAATTTCATCAAAACGTGTTTAAAATCAAATCACAACACCAATCACTTAATTCGATATTGTGCAAACCGAAAGACACATCCAACAGAAAAAGGAGATAAAATTAATACCATTTACAAAATAAATTGCATGTATGAACTGTAACAAGCATTACATCGGTGGTCGAAGTAGGCGTCCCCTTCGAATTAGAATCCAAGAACACAAATCAGCCGTGGAAAGACACGATATATATTCTTTAGTATCAATGCATATAGACAATTATGGACATCAATTTGATTGGGATAATGTCAAAATCTTAGACAGAGGAAACACCAACAAAAGTGTAGTCAGGGAATTCTTAGAAGCCTGGTACTCAAACGAATATGCAATTAACAAACATGTTAATATAGACCAAGTATACCAACTAATAAAAAGTTAGTCAGGTGACCAGAAAGTTTAAAATCCAAGTCCATAGAAAATGGTCAATACATATGTAAAGATGGTTACCGGGAGACGCAATTCTATCACCACTCATGAAGAAATTTAAATCATTTCACTTTATGCTAAATATTGCGCTGAAGGGGGAATGTTGTCCAGCACGGGGACGACGAAAGCTCCGCAACTAAACCAACCAGCTCCTCAGAGAACACTATTAATTGCAAATAATAATAATAACATCATGATGCATGTATAATTACAGCATGAGTACATCTATTTGATTACGAATATTTACTCTAAGTTAACAGAGTACTGAGAAGTACTCAATCAACTCATCATAATCCTACTGTTTTTCCTTTTCACCTATTGGTTTATTTTAAGAAAAATATTTTTATTTATTTATTTATTATTATTATGATTCGACTAGATTAAATACGCCAATATCATTCGTCTAACAAGAATTACACAGGGAATCACTTTTTTTACAATTACTAAAATAAAAGATATTGAACAGTTTAAAAACAATAACTCTCTGCCTAAGCATGAGGATGTGAACATTTTAACAATTTATAATACCATTAAAAAACACATTTGAAATGAAGTTAACGTGTGAATTCTCATTACCGACCACGGGAATCTTTACTGGTGGCTAACTGTCACTTGTTTTTATCAACAACAACAACAACAAACCTTTGGACATATTTACACGTCCACTTGTTATGTCAGAAAAAGGTCAAATGCCAGGTCACAAGAACTACTACTGATTATTACATAAATTTCAAAGTGATATTCAAAGAACCTTTCAGCGATCATCTTCTACTGACAATATGGAATAACGACGGATTCAGCTGACGTCAAATATTCACTGTATTTATCATGTTCATCATGTGTAGAAGTAAGTGACTAGTGTTCGACTCCTTCTTGATTGATAAAAAACATTTACACAACTGCTAACATAAAAAAAAAAACTTGCCGGTAATTTGACGCTTGACAAACAAACAGCTCATTGAAGGATATGAATACTCAGGAGACAATGATAATTTTCTCTGAAACACCAAGAAACATATTTATTGAATGTCAAAAACTCAAACAAAACTATTCCTATATACAAAATTTACGATGTATCTCTTCAAATGTCATCGGTGTAATCGTGGGCTACCTACTGCCTGTCTACAGCATACCCTGTATCCTCGCCAACCTCTTCATCGCTATCACTGTGATGTTCAGATGGAGGACAGCAGCACGTCAGTTGATTTATATCTCAGGGATTTGTTTATCCAGTGCTACAGCCGATGTCTTCTTCATATGGTTATGGCAGTACCCCGCCTTTGGTTTACCGTATACAACAAACGGCACGAAATTCTTCACACTGGTCAACGTCTCCCCGACAGCTTGTCGTTTCCATCGTTTTGTCTATTCATCCAGTGCTACACTAATGTGTAACATGCGTGTATGCTCTGCACTAGACAGGTGTCTGGCTATCTACGTGCCAATAAAGCTGAAACATTTCCATCATAAATATGCTTGGTTTGTGTACGGATTTACAGTGTGTTTTAGTGCATTGCTAATGTTACCATTAGCTACAGAAATCGATTGGGTCCCGTCGAAATTTGGCGTCCAATGTTGGTTTCGAAACAACAGTAATGTCTACCTTCCACTTCATCAATCCTTCTTATCAAATTTAGGACCAATTCAAACTATACTACTCATAATCATCGATGTAGCCTTTGTAGTCAAGTTTCGTCAACATTTTCATAAACATACAAACAAGGCGAATCCAACAGATACCCAGAAGAAAGACAATAAAAAGTTCAATCGTTATCGACTGTTGTTTATCTCAGCTGCGTCTTACACCCTCCTGGCTACAGTCCAGTGTATATTTTTATCGATCGCTCGTTTGAGCAGTGTTGATGTCATCGTGTTTGAAACCGGGCTTGCTTACAATATGTCGGATATTTTATGGTATTTAAATATTCTCAGAGAAGTTTTAGACTTTGTAATTTATCAGAAATGTTTTGGAATCTTTGACGTGATTATCTTGAAGGTGTCTGTTCTATGTTTCCGGCGTACATTGGATACTCGATCAAGTAATCTTTTCAATGGAACTGAAATGACCACAGACTAAACTGTGTTAACACTATTGATTATATTCTAATGTGAAATGAGTGTAGAGAAGAACTCGTGTGATGGTGATTTTGATTTGATTTGATAGATACGTGTTTTTGTTGATTTTGTAATAGATATCTTTTATTTATATACGATTGTTCATTGTAAATGGTACTGACTATGAGAATTAATTTATTTTCTTGCAATATATTTATATGAAATTTTAGAGTAAAATGCATTTTAAAGTATTGGTTTTGTGGGGATTTCATTTGATGTTCGGGTGGAGGATTTCATCATGAGCTGACATCAGTCAGACAAACCATTGGAAATCCGACAGGGGGTAGTTGAGAGCTCTTTCGAACCATGGTGCGTGCGTACTGATGAAGGGTCTATCTTAAACTACGCTGATGCAACAGCTGTCCAATACTTCAGCCCTATGTAGATGACACACTCAACGTACTTGGAACACAGGATATAGATAGATTTTTCGAACAGACTAACTCAAAGTTGGAGGCAATTCAATTCACTTATGATGAATTGGAAAGTTAGGAAGGGGAACTTCCAATGTTAGATTGTAGCGTAGAAAGCAGAGAAGCTAGAAAGTTAAACACACTGCCGATCTCTCCTGGTCGTCTCATATCTTAGCAATTTCCAAGAAAATATTCCGTCTTACCTTCTACATTAAGAAGTTAAAACATTCTGGTATTACCCAACCCTTACTCCTACAATTCGTTAATTCTCGCATCCTGCCTATTATTCTCTATTGTTTCCCCTTAGTTTTTCCAGGGCTACTACTGAAGAAAGACTATAACATATTACGCAGGATGTTAAATGTCGTCAGCAGAGTAAGCAACGTGCCACTTAACCAGCTTGTTAATATTTTGGTTGACAGGCACATGGACTCATGTGAAAAATGGGCCAAATCCATCTTATCTAACTCACACCACCCTCTTCACTCACAACTCTCCCCTTGCATCTCATCAGGTAAAACAAGAAGCCAATATAGTAAACTATATGCTCGCACCAGCAAATACAAAAACTCAACCATACCCTACTTAGCTCGTGTTCTGTGTGATAAAGAAAGCATTAGGCGTGACACCTATAATTCATTAAATAGTCATTAGTACAACTGGATCTCATCTTTCCAACCCACTTCACCAATAGGTACAACATTTTCTTTCTTTCTGTTCCTTTTCTCTCTCTTCTTTTTCCGTTATGTGCTGCTTTGTCTCTTTCTCTCGCTTACGCCAGCTAATAAGACAGCTCCCACTTTTCTAACACCTTCAAACACTGTTTCAGCTTTACCTTTGCTACTGACATGCCAATGTATTGTTGTAATAATGAACTGCGGTTTCCTCAATCTATGTAGAATTCTATTTATTGATAATGTACAAACTGGATGCAATACTGTAGTAAAAATGCTGAGAATTCCATTCTGTATCACAAGTACTGTTTTGGAATAAAGCAAATTATTATTATTATTAGTGTTTACAGGAAACCCACACACATTCAAACAGACATTTAGACTTCCGATCATCCCATCCTATGTTAGTGAAAATAGGTTTGGTGAAATTTTTAAGTGACAGAGCACAAAATCTAAGTAGTACCATGGAAACATTTGTAAAAAATTATATTTGTAAAATCTCAGCGAGATTGAAATGAGTAATTCCAACGTTTCCTTATCCAATCTGGTCCGAAATCCTTATCCGAGGTCCAATTTTGATCACGGCTCATACAATTTTGTTTATTTTAATTGTTGATAGCTGTTTTATGAATCAAGATTGGACAAAGTATTTAAAAACAAGAAATGTTCCTTTTATATATAAACCTCTGTTATGTTAATTTCGATTAATTTCCCTGAAGAAGTTGGAACCGGATTGCCGAACACAGGAAACGTTGGAATTACTCATTTCAATCACGCTGAGATTTTACATATATAATTTTTACAAATGTCTACTTCTCGCTCGGCGCCCAAATATTTTAGAACTATTCTCTGTCAAATCTTGATGACAGACAGTTCATTTGAATTATTTTGCTATCGAATTAAATTAACAAAGAAACTGTGTAATTTGCACAAACATCGTGTTTTCACTCTCCGTTGTCTGCAACAGAATAATGCATATCCTAAATCCGTAGCTGTCGAGTCACCTGACAACTCCAGTAGGTCGAATAAAGCAGCTCAATCTTCAGAAAGAAGGCAAAGCAATAAGTCCGACAGGGTGCTTCTACTAAACTCTAATCCTAAACACCATAATTTTGAAAATACGTCTAATCATAAAATTCTAGATACTGACAGTTTGAACAGACATGAAGGTGTGATATGTGTTAGCTGATGCATAGGAAATCCTTATTAATAAATAAAAAATGGATAGGTATCACTAATTAATTATTAATACTTGGTCAAAATTCTCGACTGTCCATATCTTCTTATGGAAACGTTAAGAAATGTTTTACAACTGTGTACCCACACACACACACATACACACTCTGTTTAAAGTGTTTAACAAAGGTAGACCAATATTTGCAAGTCCGGGGTCAAATTTTGATCACAGCTCATAAAAGTTTGTTTATTGTTATACTTGTTGATACTTGTTGAATGACTCATGATTGGACAAAGTTTTTAAAAACAAGTGATGTTCCTTTTATATATAAATCTCTGTTATGTTAATTTCGATTAATTTCCCTGAAGAAGTTCGGACCAGATTGCCGAACACAGGAAACGTTGGAATTACTCATTTCAATCTCGCTGAGATTTCACAAATATAATTTTTTTACAAATGTCTACTTCTCGCTCGGCGCCCAAATATTTCAGAACTATTCTGTTAAATCTTGACCACAGTTCATTTAAAGTACCAAGGAAAATCTAAGACAGGAAGCGAAGTATATAAAACAAGCTTTGAAACTTAATAATTACCCTGATAAATTAGTCAGAAAGTATGTAGGGAAATGTAAAAATAAAATAAGTAATTAATAGTAGTGATAGCGATAATAATAATAAGATTAATAATTTGGATATCATTATTAGAAGATGGAGATTATCTGAAAACAATGTGATGTGATGTATTTGCGCTCTACTTTTCTGAACAATCTGATCCCTCACATATTTACTTGTCAAGTTGATGTATATGAAAAGATTAAGGGCAGTTAAATTAAACGAATGAACCAAAAAAGGATTTAAGAATGATTAACACAAAGTTTGGTAATCCAATGAAATAAGGATTACCAAGTTAGGTAGGTTAAGAGTAATCATAAACTGTTTTTGAATACACAGAGGCTTAATCTTATGAATAGCTATAGCCTCAGCGTATTTCAAAAAGCGCCCTTGACCATTTTTATAGATGACCTTAAAGGCTGAGTTGTAACATCAATCTTATGGTTCATCTAGATTAGGTGTTTAGCTATAGACAAAGTTGGTAGTCTGACACCTGCATCAATTGGTTTACCACAATTAGCTTCTTTCTCTAAATATTTTGGGATATGCTCTCCCACACTCACATACATAGCGCGATTACACATCCCCATGAATGTGTGTCACCACACACACACACGAAAATAATAATAATAGTAATATTAATCGTAATATTAATGATAACATGCATGTCAAACATGCGAAAGATAATGACAACACCAACAATAAGGAATCTAAATCATCAGTAGTAATTCCATACAAGGAAGGAACCTCGGAAACCACCCACTTACGCAGAATTCTTAACAAGGCAGACAGGAATAAAAGTGGCTGGAATTCAAACCAACCACAAACTCACTCAATTAGAAACAAGCTTTGTCGGTTAAAGAATCAATCCTGTGGAGCCTTTAACCACAAAACAATTTAGTTTATCTAATCCCCTGCAGCTGCAATGATTGTCAGGTCAAATACATAGGTCAACGTAGTAGAACAGGGGCAGTCAGTCAGACTAGCCGAGCATAAAAGCCTAGCAGCAAAATCTAGATTAGTTGACTCAAATGAGATGAGAAATCTGGAGAATAGTTCAGCTATACCACTCACTACATCCAATTACACACAACCATACACTAGGATGGGATGGGATAAGATGACAGTTTGAAAATCTAATGTCACAAAGTATAGGGAGGGAGAGATTGTTTATCGAATCAACTGAGAGAGAATACGTGTAATAGAATGATTCAACACCTATCCACACAGATATCTGGAAAATTCTACTACCACGCCTATGACGACAAATAGGAGAGGACAAAGAAAACTATAAAACTCAAGTTTCGAAGTCGTGTGATTCTCATTGATGACGAAATGAGTATGAACAAAACAAAATATTTGTTTGAAACCTTGTTATCTAGTAAATACTAATACTGTTTCTGTGACTGTTTGATACATCTAATAAGCGAAGTAATATGGAATCACTTTCAAATCATTTATCAAATTCATCCGAACTTGAAGCAGGACTTAGTTACTCATGCATTTTAGCCAGACCTATGTGCATAAAAGTGGTGTTCACAGTTCTTTTTCTGCCCTGTCACTTCTTTATTCATTGTGGGGTGCCCTTCCCTCATTAATTTCACTTTTATTAGCATTATTGTTATTACTGTCACTCTGAACAGCATCGAGTATTATAGTATTCAATATATTTTGCCAATGTCAAAGTCTCCCTAGTCAAACCACTCACCAAGTGACGCAATTCACTTCAAATTGAAGTGTGTATGCACTGAAGATATCGCCTTGTAGGGCGATGAAAGCTTCGGAAATTAACTATCCAGCTAGTTCAGATAACACAAACACAGCATAATACACAATCTGAATGTTAAGTGTTGTCAAGGAACTTAGCCCTAAGTTCCTATTGTAACGAAGACTTAAGCGATTGAACCGATAAACACTATGTGTTTCCTTCAACTTTAAATCCAAAACACCAATATTCCTCGAACGAAATTATATTGTTTGGCAATTAAACTGAAGAAAACTACAAAGTTTTTATTCGTATTGAAATCCAGTCTTCGTTCAACTTGCAATCGATCGTTCCATTCGCGCCTTGAATTGCCCGCTAATGG